CCGAGGTCCCTTCCAGCCCTGATGTCTATGAAATCTATGTGCTGCAGGAGCAGGGGAGCTGTGTGCTATGGGGCTGGGTGGGGCCATCCCTGCATGTGCCACCATGTGTGGCCAGGAACTTGGGTGGGAGCATAGGAGCTGCATGTTTTGAGGCCAGGTGGGGGCCCACACACTGCCACCCTATGCAGTCAGAGACTCAGGAGACAGTGTGAAAATGTGCACTATGGGGCTGGGCTTAACTGGTCCCAATCGCTGCTGCCAAGTGTGGTTAGGGACTTGAGCATAAGCACAGGAGCTGTACAATATGGGGCTAGGCAGTGCTGGCTCCACATGCTGCTGCCACATGAGGCTCTGGGGACTCCAGTGGGAGGACAGGAGCTGCATACTATGAGGCTGGGGGCAGGGGCTGGCCCTGCTCACTGCCACAACATGAGGCTCTGGGGACTCACACACTCCAGGGACTCTGAGGATCCTGCCCCCCTATACACCCCCTCACACACACACCTACATCCTTCCACACACCCCACAAACCCACACATAGACCCATATCTACCCCCCATACCTCCCACCCTTCCACACACACTCACACACCTCACCCACAATACCTACACCCTACACACCCACCATACCCTACCACATACACACCCACCCACTCCCCAACCACACACTCCCTAAACCACACACCCCATACATACACTCCCTTAACCTCCCCACACACAAAATACAAGAGTAAGGTTGTATTCTGAACTATTATTCAATCGCCTCTATATATACTATGCAAACACACACAAATCATGACAAAAAAATTTTTTAATAAAATTAAAATATGTTAGAGTAGATGTTTTGATTTTTTTAGTAGATGATTTGGGGTTTTTTTCTTGTTCCAAGATGGCAACCCCCTCTCCCCACAAAAGGAGTACTTCTAGGGCAAGGAAAGGGACTTCAGGTGGCAAAGGTCAGGGGTTAGGGGTAGGACTTCTGGTCCCAAGATGGCACCTGT